AATAAAAATTGTGCCTATGTCCAAAAATATGTACAAAGGGGTTGTCAGGAAAATGGGAGTAGCTCTGAAGTGTTGGTGAGCACATACTGTATACAAACATGGGCTAACCACGTTACCATCCCTGCTGAAATAATTAAAACACACACAGACTTTCAAATAAGTCTAAGGTGGTTTGTTCAGCTTAGCCACCTTACTGGTTTAAGGGAGCCTAAACCAGATACACACCAGACAGTCCAATTCAGAAGAGTAAGCCACCTCAGGCTGCTTTAAGTGTTTTTTCCCGCAGCAGGGATATGCAAGAACCACAGTAAAAAAAAAAAAATTCTTAACTTCTTTTTAAGTTTTGGTATTGGTAGCCTAATTGATATAACGTTCATCCGAACTTACCGCTAGGGGGCCGCTTTCATCCCCTAGAGCAGGGGTGCCCAAACTTGGTCCTGGAGGGGCCGGTGTCCTGCAGAGTTTAGTTCCAACTTGCCTCAACACACCTGCTGGTAAGTTTCTAGTATGCCTATAAGAGCTTGATTAGCTGGTTCAGGTGTGTTTCTAGTATGCCTATAAGAGCTTGATTAGCTGGTTCAGGTGTGTTTAATTAGGGTTGGAGCTAAACTCTGCAGGACACCGGCCCTCAAGGACCGAGTTTGGGCACCCCTGCCCTAGAGAATGTTAATCATCAGACACTAGTTTTAATGTGTTGATGCCTTACTTGAATCTAACATTGCACGCATAGATAGTTTATAACTGACCTGAGTACATTCTCGTAAACAAATGAAAACTAGCTAGCTCGTGAGCGCCCTCTAGAGGCGGAGCTTCGCTGAAACGAAACCAGCACTTGCGAGAAATAGCCGCTCATGTCAGGAGCAGGTGAATAAGTAGAAAGGCAATATGTGTTGATTATCTCTGTATTTTAAACGAAACTGTTTATTTGATTTGACCTAATGATGACTTGACAGGAAAAAGGGTGAGCGGGTTATGGGTAAGTAAGTAACTACCGGTCTGTTCCAGACACATGTTAACCGGTGTTACAAATGCATTTTCAAACGAATTACATTTTGCTTGGAATATTTTATGGTATTTTCAGAAATTCGGGGTCGTATATTGTATGTCATTCCATCTGTTCGTGTCATACTGATTTGTCTAAAAGGCTTTTAGTGTTTCATTATACCACATTGTATCTACTGACAGTGTTTGTGCGGTACATCCACGATAAAAAAAAAAACAGGCTATTCGCGTTTGTGTTGCTACTTATATTCCACGAATACCTGACTAAATCGTGTCATTGTCACTGGCATGCAAGCGTTCTAAATATCATCAATGCTATACTATACTAGTCACTATACTATTGGAACAACAAGACTGATCTCATGAATATTTATTAACTCACGTAAAATATGTATAATTTACATGCATATACATGCATAAATATGTATGAAGTATAATTAGTGGAGAAAATTATCATTATTATTATTTTGTAAAATATTATTTTTATAAGTAATACTTACTATTTGAGGAAAGGAGCATTCACAAAGTCCCCTACGTGAACAATTATAATTTGTTTGGTTGTGATGAAACATGGTTCTGCAAAATAATGTTTACCTTTCCAACTTTATGGCACACATCCCACAAAGTCCAAATATAAAATTAAAGCCTCTATACACTAGCAAGTGGCGAGGTCAACAATGCTTAATAGGCCTATATCAAAATGTAACATGAAAGTACATTCATTGATATGTTTTACAGTATAATTCTGGTATAGCATTATAATAATAAAGATGTGATTTTGAGGCAGTGGTATTTTAATAGTACTTGAACATATAATTGGTATTTTACATATATTATTAATCTATAAAGTAGTTCAGTACGGGTTTTTTGGAGACTTGTCGTGTTACATCTACATTTAATCAGATTTTATCCGGTTTGTGATATTCTTCTCTATCTGCAGGTATTGATTTTTGGACTAGTCTTTCTGGAATACTTTTCTTTACCAACAGAGTCTAGAATTTGGTTATGGAGGTGTTTAAGTTACCATTAAATGTTTAATTAATTTAATGTAAATATACAGCTTTTCTAATTTGCTGGAGACTAAAACTGTCCATGAAAATACTGTTGTGGGTTTGGTTTGGGAATATGTGCTGCCTGACAGAATGTGTTTTTAATACATTTATAACAGTAATAGCTTTTTTATATAAACTGCAAATGTTTAAATGCATTTGTTAACAGTACATCCTGTTTCTACCGATGTTTAGATGTTAAAGTTAGCACTTTCTGAGAAACAAAAAAAATATATATATATAGATTTTGTTGATGACCCAGCGGTCATCCTGACCTGAGTGATCAGATTTTGATTGGTTCAAATTTTCAGACCACTGGTAATGATAGTTCAGAGTCCACCTCATGATCAACTCATGATCAACATTTTGTTTTAGGACTAAATTAAAAGACTTTACTTCTTCAAAATTTCATAGTGGTGTGTGTGTGTGAGTGTGTGCTAGAGGAAATTAAAGCAGGATAAGAACTGACACCTGACTGTTAAATGAATATAAATCATCTTAGTTTTAGAATTTAAACTGGTAGGTGTTTAACAGCACTGTGACGCAGAGTGAACAGATGTGTTTAGTTTCAAGGTAATGTTAAAGAGACCATGAACGGTATGATAGAGACCAGTTATTTGTCATGAAACAGAGCCCTATGTAGTAGATGGGGTTTAAAAAAAACAAGAAGCAACCTAATTACTTTTATTGTTTGGTTGACGATGTTTTAATGTTGTCTATGACACAGTTAAAGATTATGGACATACACTTGCTCTAGTCTTCTCTTAAAGGAGAATAATAATAAATCCTCTTAATATGAAAATGTACTCACGCTTAGGCCATCCAAGATGTATATGAGTTTCTTTCTTCATCAGAATAGATTTAGAGAAGTGTGTCATTACATCACTTGTCTAAACAGCTAATACAAACATTTCAATAATCCACACTACTCCAGTCCATCAATTAATGTCTTGTAAAGCTAAAAGACGAAACAAATCTCTCATTAAGGCGTTTTAAACCATTGCGCCCGGCTAAATACGAGTCCTCTATCCATAATATTACTTTCTCCAGTGAGAAAATCATCTTCTCTGAATCAGGAGAGAAATATGCACAGATCAAGAGGATAACAGGGGATAGACTTATTTAGACTTAATTATAGACTTAACAGGGGATAGGATTATTTGTGGATTGCTGTGTTTTTCTCAGCTATTTGCAATCTCATTCTGACGGCACCCATTCACTGCAGAGTATCCATTGGTGAGCAAGTGATGTAATGCTAAATATCTCCAAATCTGTTCCCATTAAGAAACAAACTCATCCACATCTTACTACGGTTTTGACTGTGAGGAAATTTTCCCACCGGTTAATCGACATGTGACAACACCGGTAATACTGGTATCACCATGGGGGCGGGGGCGTTCCCTCTTTTCCTCGCTTTCCTTTGCTTTTAAATAGTTTGTAAAAGCTGCGTGCTTGCATTTTACTTTCACTTTCAAATAGCGGCAATTCGGCGTAAAGCAATTGTTCGTTTTTAGTTCGTTTGAATTACCCCTCTTTTCCTCGCATTCCTTCGCTTTTAAAGGGGTCATATATGCTGCTAAAAAGAACATTATTTTGTGTATTTGGTGTAATGAAGCTTAAAAGTGCCATGCACATTTTACTTTCACTTTCGAATTAGCTGCAGTTTGGCATCAATTGCTTGAATGCAACAAAATACAACGTCAAACTCACTTTAGCCTATATATAAAACATAGAACTTTTATTAACAA